AGCTCAGGAGTTTGAGGAGGAGGCTTCGCCAGGAGAGAGGCCGGGCGCTGGTGCTGCGCGCGGTTGCGGCCACAGTCAGTATCTCGGATTTGGCACGCCACAGGGCGGAGGGCCATCCGAGGTTCATGCAGGAGTGCCGGGAGTGCCGATTGGCAGCCGGGCGCATGAGGCCCCATTACCGCCTCGATCCTTCGACTCGGCCCGGAGGCCAGTTGAGCGTTGACCTTTCTGGCCCTCATCCGAAAGGTTTGCGGCCGAGCTCACTCGCCCAGGATGGCCCGAAGAGGGCTTGCTATTGCTTGCTGGCCGCATACCAGGTGCTGACCAAGCGCGAGGTCGAGGACCAAAAGCGCATGGTCCAAGATGCCCGACGAGCAGCTGGGGTCGGGGTGCCCGTGGAGCCAGCGCGCGGCGCCGCCGCTGCAGGGGCTGCCGAGGAGCGCGGCCCAGCAGGACAGGAGGAGGTTGAGGAGCAGCCGCAGGATGTCCCCAGAGAAGCTTCCGGGAACCTCGGGGTGGACCAGGACGAGGTTAAGACGCGGTACTACACGAGGCCGCTGGAGGGGGAGACCTCCAAGGAATGCACCGCGGCGATGGAGGAGATCATCAGCGATATCAACTTGGAATTCCCGGGACCTGCCGTGTTTCGGCTGCACGGCGACAGGGCCGGGGAGCTCACCGGGCGCGCCGTCAAGGGCCACATGGCGTCCAAGCACACCATCGCCGCGACGTCGACCGCTGGGGGCGAGTCCAACTCCAACCCCAGGGCCGAGAAGGGGATCGGAGTGATCAAGGGCAGAGCGCGCGCAATGCTCATGGCCGAGAACCTCGACGCTGAGGATCGGCAGGCGCTCTGGCCGGCAGCTGTCCAGCACGCGTCGTGGTGCCAGCGCCGGGAGGCCCAAGGGCGAGGCTTCGGGAACTGCCCGCTCTTCGGAGCAGCGGTGACGAGCAGGATCAAGGACGCCCGGGGCAGTTTCGAGCTTCGAGCGCGCGAGCAGTGCTTCTTCGGGGTGGCTGACGGTGTGAGTGGCGGATACCTTCTTGGACGAAAAGAAGCTGCTGGCTGGGTGTTCGAGGTCTCGCCCAGCTTCGCGCTCAACCTGAAGGCGCACGAGACCCAGGAGGAGGACGAGACCCAGGAGGAGGATGAGGCCCAGGAGGAGGATAAGCAGGCTGAGGAGGATGAGGCCCAGGAGGAGGATAAGCAGGCCGAGAAGGACCTATCGGCCACGCGGCCGGGACAGCATCCGGCTGAGGAGGATCGGGCCCAGGAAGAGGAGAAGCAGGATGAGGGGGAGAAGCACGCAGAGGACGCAGCAGCACCAGGAGGAGGCAGCGGGGAGGACATCTTCGAGGTTCAGTCCGAGGAGCGAGCGTTCTCTTGTCCGGCGTGCCGGGGCCGCCATCGAGCGCACACCCGTGATGAAAGGCGTCGCCTTGGAGCTCGCACGGCGACTGCGATGCCAGCGGGGAGGAGGGCCCAGGAGGATGTCGAGGAGAAGCCGATGAGGACTGCACGTTCGGTCGTCGGTACCCCCGCGAGCCTCCTCATGCACCGCGACAGCATGAACATGCACGTCCCATTTGCTGGCGTCGCTGACGCACGAGATGGTGGAGACCTGGACAACGCGCCTCCGGAGTACCACGACATCGCGAAGGACTCGGCCATGCAGATCGTCAGCGTCGCGGACGTGCGGAAGGCGTATGGCCAGGAGCGCGAGGAGTGGAAGCTCGCGTTGGAGCATGAGCTCGGGTCGCTCCGTGAGACTGACTCCTACGAGGAGTTATCGCCAGCGGAGCGGGCGGTAGTTCCGCCACGAAAGATCTTGCCGATGAAGGCGGTGGCAGGAGTGAAGGCCCCAGATCCGACGGGGAACAGGAGGAAGAAGGTTTGGGGGGTCATCTGCGGGAGCCACCAGGAGCGCGGCGACGGCGAGCAGGTCTACGCGGCGAACGTGGACATTTCCTCGGTGCGGACGGCCCTGGCCGTGGCAGCGCACAAAGGTTGGGCCGTGGGCGCCTTGGACGTCAGCACGGCGTTGCTGAACGCGGAGCTGCCCGAGGAGGTCGGCGAGGTCATCGCGAGGCCGCCGAAGATTTTCGTCGAGCACGGCCTCTGCAAGCCGGACGAGCTGTGGAGGGTGAAGCAGGCGATCTACGGATTGCGAGTGTCCCCACGGGCGCGGGGCATCAAGCGGGACAGCGACTTGCGCGACGTGCGGGCGCAGCACGAGGGCATCGAGTGCAAGCTCATGCAGTCGCTGGTGGACCCCTCGGCGTGGTCCGTCGTACCGGTCGTGGAGCCGAGGGTGGAGTCCGAGCGCAAGGTGCTGGGATACGTGCTGGTGCACGTGGACGACTTCCTCATCCTGGGCGCCGGCCAGCTGGTGGCAGCGCTCACTCGCGCGTGCCAGTCCCTCTGGAAGTGCAGCGTCCAGAACATGGTGAGTTTTGACGCTCCGGGCGAACTGAAGTACCTCTCGCTGACCATCGAAGCGAGGGCCGACAGCTTCTTCATCCACCGGCGGGAGTACATCTCGGACCTGTTGGAAAAGTGGGGGCTGGACAAGGCAAACGGCACCGGCACGATGCAGATCGAGCCGACCAACGACGAGGAGGAGGCGGGGGAGCTGGAGGTAGGAGACGCGAGACTTGCTCAAAGGATGTATGGAGGCCTCTTGTGGCTGAGCAGCCGGACGCGGCCCGACATAGCATTCGTAGTGTCCCGCGTTGCCTCTGCTGCCTCTTCGCGCCCTCTTTGGGCGCTTCGCCTGGGTAAGTGTGTGCTCAGGTATCTAATCAGCACGCGTGCCTACGGGCTGGTGTACAGAGCTGGGATGGGCGAGCCGCGCTTGGAGACGTTTGCAGATGCCAGTTTTGAGCCCGACTGCAGCCAGTCGGGAGTGGCAACGTAGATGTGCGAATGCTTGGTCGACTGGAGGTCAATCAAGCAGGCGCAGCCTGCCCGGTCGACGGCCGAGGCGGAAATCACAAGCCTGGCCATGGGTTGCCTCATGATGGAAGGCACCGAGGCGGTGCTAGGATCGATGTTCGTGCGACCAGCGTCAGCGTGCTTGTGGGGCGACAACAGCGCGTCGCTCGCAGTAGCCATGGGCCAAGGCTCGTGGCGCACCCGCTGCCTGGCCAACAGGGCCAGCGCTCTGCGCAGCAGGCTGCATCAGGGGACCTTGCAGCTTGGGCACGTCCCCACTGCGGAGCAGAGGGCGGACGGCCTGACAAAGACTTTGCCTGTCCCCGGCATGGCTCGCACGCGCTCGGCATTTGGACTCCGGGCGTAAGCGGCGAGTGTTTTTTTAGAGAAGCCATTTTGGCTAGAGTGTGGGCGAGATGCTGCCCCGCGATCCCACGGACCGAGTCAATGCGACTCCGCGCTCGGCGCAGGCCGCGGCGGAGAGGAGGAGCGTGGATCGGGGGCCGCCCAGAGCCGAAATTCGTGACATTTTCGTTGCTGCCATGCTGTGCCATGCGGTGCGGGAGGCATAGCAGGCATAGCAGGCATAGCATGGGGATGGAGGTTCCCACAGCTTGCGTCGATTCTCCGGTCGGTCGGCCGCCCGGGCCGGCGACCACAGTGCGTGGGCATAGCGTGGTGTGGCACATTTCCGCCAGCGCTTAGGAAAACAACCGCGGCCATAATTTCGGCCACGTTGGCAGGACAGCTTGCCGGCGGAAACCGTGACATAGTGTAGTGCCGTGCGGTTCGTGAGGCATGGCAGGCAGAGCATGTTGTCAGAGGTCGGTATATTTAGGGTTTCTTGCGAGCGCGGGGAGAGTGGCAACACCATCCCCGCGCCCATGTGAATTGTGTTACTGTGCTGGCACTTTGGGCTCAAGATGGAGCGGTCTGAGGAAAAACGTCTTTTGCCCGTCCCGGTGAGGAAGAGGAGCCAGTCTCAGCGGCAACGCAGGCTGCTCCTCCGACTTTCCACTACTTGCGACACATTGCTTAGGCTGAAACTCAGGATCCCTGTAAACAGCAGCCTCAGGCATTCTCTGCCCATACCCCCAGCCAGGGCCCGTCGACTGTTGTGCTTGATAGCTCAGAGGAGTAGTATTGAGGCCCCTCTCGACGACGTTGTCACGGAAGCGGAGCGGCAGTAGTAGACGATGGCATTCGATGAGACGATCGTGCTCCATGCAGGGCCAGACGAGAGGAGAGCCCTGCAAAGGAAGGGGGGGGGAGGGGTTCCAGCAGGGGGGGGGGGGTTCGGGAGGGGGGGGGGGGACCCCCGGGCTCCGGAGGAAAAGGGCGGCAATTTTCCACAGTAGAGCGGCGGTGGATCACGCTCTCTCTCTCTCTCTCTCTTTCTCTCTCTCTCTCTCATATATATATATATATATACACACATGTGCAATCTCTCTCTCTCTCTCTGTCCTTCTCTCCGCTGCCCTCCCCCCCATCCATCCCAATGCTTGCCCTCCCGTTCCACTGCATCCTCTCGTCACCCCTCTATGCATCTGCTTCCGCTTGCTCTCTCTCTCTCTCTCTCTTTCTCTCCCCCCCTCTTTCCCTCCCTCTCTCTATTTATCTCGCTCTCTCTCTCTCTCTCTCTCTTTCTCTCCCTCTATCTCTATGATCCTCTCTGCCTGTTCCTAACGCCTATGAACCTTGGGATCCCGCCATGAGCTGCGGCAGCGGTCGCACAAAGTAGAGTGCATGGCCGCCTTAACGAGCGTGGGGCAGGGCGCGAATCGTGAATGACAGGTGGGGGCGAGAGCTGGTATGTAGAGTGACGGAACTGTGCAGGCGCCCGAGGTGCACGAGGGTCAGGAGAAGGACGATGTTGTTGACTTTGTGTTCCCGTCCATCCTTGCACATTGCTGGTAGTTTGTGTTCGCGGTGACAGTCGCAGGTAACCCTACCCCCACCGAGCGTACGTATTTCAATGACTGCACCGCCAGTTCAATGCTTCTGAAAGGGCTAGGGCTCGACCAGCGGCATCTTTCCCCATCGTGTTTCGCAGTGAGGCCCCACTATGCAGCTGCATAAGGAGGTGGTGCTCGGCATCAGGCCGCCTGCGAGGTTTTGGTCTTCGCTATGCTTTCCGCTCTTGATGCGTCCTGTGCGCATCACTCTGGCCCTCTTCCTCCTACTGCTCCTCCTCAGTCTGCCTCTCTCCTCCGTCCCTTCTCCTCTCCACTTTTCAGGTCGCTCGCAATTTCCCTGTGAATCCCTTATGCGGTCCCTCATTACGCAAATTCAATGCCGTTTCGAAGGTGCTGGCCAAATTAAGGCGCAGCGAAAGTTAACGACCGCCTCCATGGAAGAGTGAGGGCTTGTGGCATGGTTGTGCTTCTGATGAGTCGTGATCTCTTGGCCACGCTATTGCGAGCCCCGTGGCGTACGCGTCATGCTGGCAATGCCTCGTGTGCGGATTTGTATTTGGCTGGTCCATCCACGGAGGAGTGGAATTCTGTCGTTTCAGTTCTTTGCAGTAATCGTGGCAGCAGTTTGTTCGGGACGTTTTGATGGCCAGTTGGGGATGGTATTGGACTTAGTAGTGGGTCGAACTGCAGACAGGCATGCCATTCGTTTGTTGAACGCTTTTACAGGTGCCGTCCTACTTTTAAGTAGACAGGTTTTCCATGTTCCTTCCTCTTCAGGGGGCGGGCGAACTCCTGATACATGTGCGACGTTTTTTATTTTCACGAGTCGACCCGTTTCTTCCGAACGAGTGGGAAGCCGTCCGCAGTTGGAGCACATTTCCGACACCGTGGGCATCCACCCAACCCACAGCCGATGCATTAGCGGGTCTGCTGCCCGCTTTACAAGGTCAACCGCGTTTGTTGCCACTGCTGGCGATTCGAGCAGCCGTTTCACGGCGGCCGTGACAGCCTGCAGGATGATTGCGCTGTCGTGTCCACGCAGTTGCGACCCCATCGCAGCCGTCGGGCGTTCAAGGTTGAACGCTTCCAGCGGCCCAGAACCAGCCAATGTGGAAAGATTTGGCGATCGAAAAGCCGCCGATCTTTCCAGGGTGAGCGATCCACGCGGTGCCAGTGACCGATGCCGAAGTCGTCGCGACGCGATCTGCCTCAATTCCTGTCCCTCTTCTTCGACTTTGCCATAGGCTCGTCGTTTCACGTCTTTGGTCTCCCTGGGATTGATCTCAGAGTTTGGGCGCCAAGAGCAAGCAGGAATATGAAATTGCCTGGTTCAGGTAGGGCACATGGGATCGGGAAGGCAGCTCTGTGTACTTTCCGACTGGGATTGAGCATGCTGGCCAGCGTAGGTACAAAACAGCAAGTATTGGACACGATGTGTAAGTTCTGAAATGCACCGCTTGTGGTGCTAGCTGCGTTGTGCAGTATTTGGTGCAAGCTATGTGGTGCAAACATTATCGTGCAATCTATGTGGTGCGTGCTATTTGGTTCCATCTGTTCGATTCAACCTATGAAGGGGTGTAATATATATATATATATATATATATATATATATATATACATATATATCTATATATATATGTGTGGTGCAAGCTATGCGGTGCAGTCGAAGCGCCAGCGCACCGGGCGTGGGCGGTGACGGGGCGCAAGCCCAGAAACGGCAGTCAGCGCGCTGGGCGCCCAACGTATGGGATGTCTACGAAGCGCGCACGGGCATGGCGAAAGCCCGGCAACGGCGGCCAATCATTCGGGAAGCAAGCAAGGAACCCATTCAGCGCAAGCATCCTGTCGCGGTCGCCCCGAACAAATGAAGGCTGCCCTGGGCGGCCCCAAAGAGCCGCGGGCCGCGTCCAAGCAGATCCACGGCTCAGTCAACGCAGAATTTGGTTCACAAAGCTGTGGTCCCACGCCATCACCACATCAGGTATATCTTGGTGAAAGCAACAGCTTATTGCTGGCCGTCTTTTCCGCTCAAGGCCAGGCCTGCGGGATGCACCGTCGGACCGATGGGTCGCCTGCTGGCGGTGCCCGCCGTTGTCCTGGCTTTGGCCGTCGCCGCCAGCTCCGGCAAGTCCCAGAAGGGCCAGAGCTCCACCAAGACCCAGAGCGACAAGGCTGGCAAGAAGGCGTCCTCTGGCGACACTGGAGTTCACCTCTGCGTTGCCTCATTTCGCGCTGCCTGTGTACCGACGGTCAGGTGGGCCCAGGACCAGGACAGATCACTCCAGAGCGCTCGTGAACGCTCCCTGAGCGCTCCAGGGCGCTCTGGAACGGCCGCGGCGCCCAGCACATCTTCCAGAACCGTGGGATATCAGAGATCCGCAGGTCGTCCTGCTCCGAGGTTGTCCCAGTCTTGGCCTTGTTTTCCACCGCCACCAAGAACCCATTGGGGGGAGGTCGACCCGTTTGGTTCTGTGTCGCTCCCGAGCGTGACTCAGTACCAGACGACGCTTAGGCGTGCAACCGCCCAGGGGTTGACCTCCCCCCGATGGGTTCTCGGTGGCGGTGGGTGGCAACTAGCACCCACACGACCCCCACATTTCTCGGGGTGGAAATCGGGGGGTCGGCTGTGGGTGTGTGCTGTCCGATGGGAGTCGCAGCTTGAATGGCGACCCCCCTCGGGGTCCGACAACCCGCGCCCATGCCAATAGCGAGCCCTCAAATCGCGAGGCGCGGGTCAGCACCCCTTCGTTAGTCCTGAGGGCGAGTTGCCCGTGCGCCAGTCTCTGTTCCTCCTTTGAGCCTGGGACCCCGACACCCGACGTCTTGATTTCTTTGCCGCGTAGCCCCCGGAAGTCCCGACCCCTTCCTCGGGGCCGCGTCTTCATCCCGAGTCGTTCTTGACACTCCCGTGGCCCGGCGAGGGCCCCCAGAGGCCCACGGCGACAAGCACATTGCGCTTGCAGTTTTCATTGCGCTGCAAGTTCGGGGAAGGTAGAGGGCCCGTGCCAGGTTGCAATTGGATCCGATGGATCCGATGCGACAGCGGAGTTGGCCGGCCCGATTCGATTCGATATCGGTATTCGGGCGATCCGATGCGGCCCGACGCTTGCATGGCGCTGTAGGGCGTCCTGGCGCGGCCGATCCGATTCGATTCCGACTCCGTGCCGGCGCGGCCCGGTCCGACCTGCTCTCCGATGCGATTCGATGTCCCGATTTGATGTCGGCAGATCTTGCCATGCAGTCGTCTGCCGGTGCCTGCTCCTCACACTGCTGTAGCGCGTTGGGATCCAAAGCGTTTGCTGCCCCGGCCGCGTCCTCACGCCTAGTACTTCTGCTGGCTCCGCCTCGTCGCTGCGCGCGAGGCCGCTCAACGCGCATAGTAAGGATGGGCGACTTTCCAAGGAAACCCTTGCATCCTGGCCCCTTCGGCCCATCCTGAGCGACTTTCGCCGGCCAACCTCGCTGGAAAAACGTGAACATGGCCCTACAAGGCCCTTGCGTCCTTACCGCGCATCCATGTTACCCGGGCGCATTGTTCCGCCAAACGCCTGCGCCTCAGGGGCTCACGAGCGCGCCAGAGCTCGGCCGCCTGCGGCTCGCGGCACCCCCCAGTCGGCCGCGGCCGAGGGAAGCCCCGCGGACCGACAGCCCGAGGTTGGCCCGCCATCGGCCCGAGACGGCCCCGGCTCAGAGGAGCACGGAGTCGTCGGGAGTGGTAGCTCGGAGGGGGAAAAGGTACCCATGCGGCTAATGTAAGCTGATGATCAAAAGTCCCCCGGGGGTCGTGACCACGCACCAGCGACGGGGAAGATGATGAAAGCACGTGGCCCCCCGGCGCAGGAAACTAGTTTTTTATTCGTTCCCCCCCCCCTCCTCCCAGCCGCGGCCCCCGACGGCCGACGGGACAGACAAGGCCGACGGGCCGAATCTGTTATAAGTGACTAGTTTCTCAATCGTTCCCCCCCGGAGCATTTTAATCATGCACACGCATTGCCCATACCGCTCCCCTTGCCTCGTTTTTCCTTGTTCGGGGCTTACTGGGAGGCCCTCGTCGCCACCGCTGGGTTCGCCTCGAGATCCTGGTCAGAACGCACCCCAGGAGAGGTCCAGGGAGTAGCCGTGTGGATACATTTTAGTTTCCCCAGTGGCAGCGCGCCGCGCGCGCTCTGGTCTTCCATTCCCCTTCAAAACGTCGCGTCATCATCTGCCATTTCCACTATGCACCATGTGTTGCAACATGCGGATATTTGACTCCGCTCTGCTCCGCCGGAAGGTTTTACGGGGATGCGTCATGATTGTCCGGGCGGGTGGAGGTGCAAGCTATGCGGCGCAAGCTGTGTGGTGCAAGCCGCGTCTTGCAAGCCATGTGACGGTAGCTGATGAAGGTGAACTCTGTGCGGTGTAGGTTATGTGGCTCAGCCTATGTCGTGTAAGCTTGGCGGTGTGAGCCAGAGGTGGACGCTCTGGGGTGCAAGCTATGTGATGTAAGCTCGAGTTGCCTGCGGCAAGCCAGGCCACTGCGCCTGCACAACGCTTCCGCAGAAAAGCGGCTCAGCTATGGGTCGTCGCCATTCCGACGACAGGTCTGAGTTGGGACGGGGCGTGGAATTGACCTCACCTCGTCTTCGTCCGCGCGGTGTGGTGGATGTCGTGTTCACGCCCCGCTGCAGTTCCGCGGGCGTTCTGCTCTGGATCGGTCGTGAACTTGGCCTCGTCTTCGTCCGTGCGGCTGGAAGGAGGTCGAGGTCTCAGGGAGGAGGGGGGAGGAGGCAGGCGAACAGAAACACATGAGAGGGAGGGGATGGGACAGCTGCGAGCGATGTGCGGAGGTCCTCCATTCAGATGTGCGCGGCTGGGGAATGAGATTCGCCCCAACCCACGCTCGGTGCCCCCGTCTTCACGGCCTCAGGGGTACAATCAGCGGAGCCCATCGGAGGTCTTTGCCATGGAAGGTAATGTGGTCTGCGAGGGCTTCAGTCAGCCTGCAATTTTGAGGAGAAGGAGGCGGGTCAGAAGAAGAAAGGGTACCGATACCGCTACGCTACCTTCATCGCCACGTGCCATTTGTTAAGTTTAAGTGTTGTCCTGCAGTTGTGCAGCTGAGTAGTGCTTGTTTGCAACGGCGAGCATTAACAGCAAGGTCCTGGATTGCTGTCCTTCCAGGGTGCCATGCTCCAAATAGTGTTCCAACGGTGGTGGTCACATGGAATTCATGTTGTGAGCGCTTTCCACCCTTGATCAATAACAGTTGGTGATGCACTTACTCAGCTTTGAGATTCGCGTTGCTCCAGTATTAGCCATCCTTGTGTTGTATCGTGGCAGCGGTGACGCGCCGACGCGGGGTCGAGCCAGCACAGGTGCTCTCGCAACGCCGCAATGCGGTCAGAGCGTGCTTCGGGCGAGCGTCGTTACGGCTGGGAGCTTTTGGATCGCGTGTCGCGCAGCCAGTGTTGGCCCACCACCCTTCGGAGCGACACGATGTCCCCGTCCCAGTCCCCAAGCTTTCACGTCCCGAGCCTTTCCCGAGCCTCCCGCCCTGCAGAGCGGAGCGACATGCCATCCGCTCGCGACGCATAGCGTGTCGCCGGGGCCGCGGGGGCGACACGCTAAGCTAAAAGTTCCCGACCGTATATGTGGATCATGTCGGTGGGTCGGGGGCCTCTTCCTCATTGATGGCCTCGGCCATGCGGCCGGTTTCCTGGTGCGCCTCGAGGAGTGCCGGAGTGCCGGAGGTCGTCCTTCCGGTGCGGCTCGGGGGAGAAGCTGGTGCCCAAGGAGAGCCTGTGCCGCACAGCGCTGGGCGGTGGCGTCCCGCGTCGCAGGCGATTTCTCGCCCACAATCCCCGAGCTCCATCCGAAAACTTGGGCTGCTCTGAAAGTGGGGAGAAACTCGGGGGTACACCCCCAAGGGGCTAACGGGACGCACCCTTGTCGAGGATGGACGCACACCTGTCGTACATCCCCGAGTTATGCTCCAAATTCATTGTTCATTCGGGAACCCTGCAAAGTCGGGATTGGGGTCGCCATACCCGCCGCCCCCTGCCTGGGAGGCCGTCCCCAAGACCTCCACGGCGCGTCGGCTCGTCAGGCGCACGAGGCGCATGCCCGGAATTTTCCCGAGCTCCGTGATCCTTTTGCGTGATCCCTTTGCGTTTCTCAAGGTCGGGCATTGAGAGAACGCCCAACCAGACAAGTCGACCCAGGAGATTCTAGACGCTTCGCGTAACCCCAGTGGACCAGCCCCCCCCTCTGTCCGGGGCTCGGGTGTGCGACTTTGCTGGCGCCACCACTCGCACCTGCCAGGCCTTGGCAGGCATCTTGGGTCGCTCTGAGGTGCCCACCCTGGTCACATCGCGGTGCCCCCACGCGCCATTTTGGCCGCGCCGCAGCTTCTGCTGCCCAATACACTCGCATCCAATTTATTTCGTGACGTCGGCCCACTTGGCTGGCCTCCTCGGTACTCTTGCAGTCCCGTGGGTGGTTACACCCCTGCCTACAATTCACATCGCAGCTTGCAGACCCTCGCAGCCAGCCACCCTGGCAGTCCGCCCGCCTCCCCCTGCAGCTCGTTGCTTGCGTGCATCCCTGGCAGTGCAGCCACCCTGGCAGCCACCGCCATGCTTGCATGGACGCTGTGTGGGCGCTCTCTGCCCCTGGCCCTGGCCCGGGCATCCACACCCAGTGCAGCTTGCAGCTCACGCGAGGCGCCGCTTAGGCTGCTTAGGCAGTTTAGGTGTGCGGCTCTAGTTTGCTCCTGTTGTTAATTTGTAGGCCCGCGCTCCGGACTTACGACGCGCCGTTTGCGCTCTCGCCCGCGGCCGCGACCAAAAAAAAGTAACCCCACCAGCTCTGAGTTGCGGCGGTCGGCTTGCTTTTGCCAGGTAAATTAGGACCTCGCGCGGCCCGCTCGGACCTTGACACGCCGTCGGCGCGCTCGCCTGCGGCTGTCAACAAAAAGTACCCCCACCAGCGACCGTAGCTCAAGCCGTGCCAGCTCGAGGTTGGTCGGTGCGACCTGGCTCCGCTGCCTCCGGGGTCGGCCGGATGGAGCCGCCCTCTGCACTGCGGCGACGGCTGCGCCGCGCTGACGCGGCTGCCGCCGCCGCGGCCCGCTGCTCGCCTGGCGCTGCGGCCGCCGTGGCCCGCGCGGCCGCCCTGGGGCCGGCCGCTGCTGCGGCCGCTCGCGCAGCGGCCGACGCCGCGGCCGCGGCGGCGGCCAGCTCGGCCTCCAGCGCCGCCGGCGTGGTGGCCGCTCCTGCTGCCCCCTCCGCGGCGGCTGCCGCCGCCGCTTTGGCTGCCCCCGCCGCTGCGGCTGGCGCTGCCGCGGCGGCCAGTGGCCGCCCCTGCACGGCCCCCGCGGGCGCCGGGCCGCTGTCGGCGCTGGTGCCGTCGGCGCCGGCGGACCTGCTCGCTGGGCCGGTTCGCACGCGCCCTTCCAGCGAGGGCGTTGCGCCGCCGCAGGGGAGGGCTCGCGCCGTCGCTGCTCATCCAATCGGCGTGCCCCCTGCTGGCCCCGCGAAGCAGGATGATGCAGCGGGTGCCCCGCGAAGCCGATTGAGAGGGGTCCCGAGCGCTGGGCCAGCTGGCACGCGCCTTCCCAGCAAGGCGCTACGCCGCCGCAGGGGGGGGTCGCGCCGTCGCTGCTCAGCCAATCGGCGCGCGCGCGGCGAACCGCTAATCTCTGCGCCACCGCGATGCGCCGTGTCCGGACGGCGAGCTTCATTGCGTGATTCTCGGGCAGCCAGCGCTTCGCCAGCGCGCGGGCTTGCGCGCTCTCTGCAGAGGCCCCAGCGGCGCTCCGGGGCTCGCGGCCGGGGCAAGTCCGCGCGCGCGGGACTGGTTGCCGCTGTTCGCGCGAACGTTGCCGCGGCGGTGCTGGCGCCCGGCGACCCCCTCCCCTTGCCCCGCGCGCTGCTGGCGGGGCCGCGTGGACACCGGGGGCCGCGAGTCGAACCGCGAGGGAGATCGGCCCAGCTTCGTGCGAACCCCTGATCCCGAAGCGGCTCTCGTCAAGGTCCCTTCGCTCCCGCCGCGGGCCGCCGGGCTCGCGCGGGCGGGGGGCGAAGCGGCCGGCTGCCTCCTCGCCGCCGCCCGACCGGCGCCCCAGGTTTCGGGCGCCCGCGCTCCGTACTCCAGAGTTCGAGGCGGCACCTCCCCCACCGATTGGCGCGCCCCAGCAGTCCAGCGATGCCGCCGCGGCCCCTCAGGGAAAAGGCCCGCGCCACGGGCTCCCCGAAGGCCTCGGCGGCCGCTGCGCAGCTATGCAGGCGATTCCAGACCGCTCTCTCGATTGGCGCGCGCGCGCCTCCAGCGGGGGCGCCGCGCCGCCGCGGGGCGGTGCGCGCGCCGTCGAGGGGGCATCGTCGCGGGACAGCCGCTGCGAGTCCCACCTGTTAGATTTCGTTCTTCGACACCAGCTCTCGCCGATCCACTCGCCCCTTTGGGGTCCTGGCATCTTCCGTGCTCGGCGGGGCCACTTCTTTCGGCGCTGGGCGCCCCGCTCGCCAAGCCGCCGCTGGACTGCACTGGACCCCTGGTCGTCTTCGAGGGTCCGGCGCCACCGACTTTCACATAACTGCAGAAGACGCCCCTCGCGTCTTCTGGCGAGGTAGGTGGCGCCAAACGTCGCGGGCTGAGCGCTACCTTCAAGCCGCTGCTGCCTCCGCAGTCCCTGCGTCTCTTTCCGAGGCCGTCGGGGCTCAGGCGCTGCTCTTCTTAGCCTCAGGCAGCGGTCGCTTGCTTGTTTCTTTCCTGCTTACTGGGTCGTCAGCATGGTCAGTCCAACTCGCGGCCGCCCGCCGAAACCTTGCCACTTCGCAAGGGCTTCGAGCATGGGCACGGCTGCGCCGCCTGTCGGCGGCCAGGAGTTCCCCCCCTGAGCGCGGCGCGTCGGCCCCCTCGCGCGCGGCGGCAGGTCTGCCCCGCCGCCGTGCGCGGAGGCGCCGGCGCGCGCGCGTGGAGACCGCTCGCCAGGGCGGAGCGAGAGAATGCTCCTCTTATTCTCTGGGACTCCCCTTCCGCGATCTCTGCAGCGTTTCGGCCCCCCCCTGAACTCCTGGCCTCGTTGAAGCTGAAGGCGCACGCGCTGCGCGGCTGCCTTTTGCGCACTGCGGGGGCCGAGCTGTTCTGTTCCCCCAGTGCCTGCACGGCTGCGCCGCCTTGTGGCGGCCGGGAGTTCTCCCCCCGAGCGCGGCGCGGCGGCCCCTTCGCGCCGCGCGGCAGGTCTGCCCCGCCGCCGCGCACGGAGGCGCCGGCGCGCGCGCGGAGACCGCTCGCCAGGGCGGAGCGAGAGAATTACTTTTCCATGGGCGTGTGGAGTTGTTTTGGAGCTGTCTCTGGGGCGCTCTTGGGTCGTTTTCGGGCCGTCCTGGGACTCTATGCGGCCACTTTGGGACATTCAAGGGTCGCACCGTGGGTGCGTTGGAGCCTCTTGGGCCGCGAATATGCGTAGTTGGGGCGGGGCCCAGGGGCCACGTGAAGCCAGGCCATGGTGGATGCAGGAGGAGGGGGACACGGTCGATCGGTCGGTCGACACCATGCAGTGCGAGGGGCTTGGGGAGAGGGCGCGGGGGGGGGGCGCAGGAGATCGGTCGGTTGAGATAATTCAGTGCGAAGGGCCTGTGGAGAGGGTGCCAGGGGGGGGGGGCGCAGGAGAAAGGGGGCACGGTGCCGATGCCGGTCGGTCTATTAAAATAATGCAGCGCGGTGGGTCTGTGAGGAGGGCGCCGAGGGATAGGAGAAGGGGCGCGGCCGGTCGGTCGGCCAGCCGGTCGAAGCGAATAAGCGCGTTGGGCCTGGAGATCGGGCGCCAAGGGGTGGGCGTAGGAAAAGGGGCACGTTTGGTTGGTCGGTCGACGAAGATGCATTTCGAGGGGCTTGGGGAGAGGGCGCCAACAGTGGGGCGCAGGATAAAGGGGGCACGGTCGCACAGTCGGCCAGCCAGTCGAAGCGATGCAGCGCGAAAGGCTTGTGGAGAGGACGCCAAGGGAGGGATGTGCGAGAAGGGAGGCACGGTCGGTCGGTCGGTCGATCTAGTGCACTGCGAGATCACACCGGCTGGTGTTCTACACGTTTTGCGTAACCCCAGCAGCCCACCCAGAAACGATGCCCAGGCGAGTTGCCCTGATCAGGCATCGGGGGGAGCACGCAGTGTAATAAAGGTAGGGAAGGCGTCATACTCCAAGAGGGGGAGGATAGAGGAGGAACCAGAGAAGCCGGGGGAGTAGGAGGGGGGGGATGGAGGAAGGAGTAGGGACAAGCTAGGTGCGCTCGCGTCACATCTGACGTCCTACCCCTCCCCCCCCATCCCTCCCCATGGCGTAGATATTTTCTCTATTCGCGCAGTCGGATGCCGAGCAGGGCAATGATCGCGAGGGGGTACGCGATGCATAGTAGAGCACGGCATGGCATGGCGTAGGAGAGCATGGCTGAGCGTAGCCTGCCATAGCATGGCGTGGCATTGCGCAGTGAAACATTGCATAACAAAGCGTTGCAACGCAAACCATGGCATCGCACAGCGGCGAAGAACGCAACACCGCACAGCATGTCATGGCATGGTTCCTTGGAAGGTAGGTGGATCGTCCTCGAGAGGTCTGTGCCAGTCTGGAGTCGTGGCTCCATGTCTAGCCCCTTTGGCTCCCCGGAAAGCTCCACTCAAGCCGGGGCTGATGGAGAGCACCCGCTGGCTCTACTTCCAACGTCGCCTTCTCAATGCATGCAGAAACGGAGCTCACGCTTGATTGTAATGGCCTTCGGCCAGTGCCGTCGATCTGGGGGGGTTCCGGATTCGGTGACTTTCGCGGCTCTGTGGCCTCCTCCCTCTTCGAATCTTCCGGTCCCCTTTCTTCTCCCTAGTTCTCGTTATCCTCTGTCTCCCGCTGAGCGGTCCCGGGGGGGGTCCCGGGAGGGTTCCGAGGGGAGGGTCCTGGGGGCGGTAGCGGCTAGATCTGAGGGGGGTCCCTGGGGCCCCCGAAACATTTTGGGATGCGCAAATCATTAAGAAAACGTTGGATGGGGGACCGCCCCCCCCCATTCCCCGGCAGAGCCACCCCGGCGCCACCAAGCAGAATCTGAGGGGTGTTTTTGGGACCCCCCGAAACAGGATGGGGATGCGCAAATAATTAAGAAACCGCCAGATGGGGGACCGCCCTCCCCCCCCCTCCCCCCCCTTCCCCAGCAGAGCCACCCAGGCGATCCCCCCCAAAGCCGAGCTGAAGTTTTCGCTTAGGCTCAGAGCTGAAGCTCTTGCTGTGGCTCCCTGCAATTCACACGCGGGATCGGCGGACTTCCTGAAGACGACGACGCCCCAAAGTGGGGGGGCTTCTGCGGCCCAAAGAGACAACGAATCGACATTGAATGTGAACTCACTAAACCCACTCCCCAGGAATCCCGTGTAAAAAAACCACACGCGGAGGGGGGCAGGAGATCTTCCGGACGTCGTCAGGGGACAGAGGAGAGTAGTAATTCATGTTGTGTAACTGTGGAGGGAGAAGGAGGAGGATGGGACGGATGAGGAAGAGGATGAGGAAGAGGACGAGGAACAGCGCGAACAGGAAGGCCAGATGCATCTTGGATGCTTCTCGGAGTCTCTTCGGATGTTTCTCGAAAGTTTCTTCTAAGCCTGTTGGGGCATCTTGGGTGCATCGGGGGAGCCTCTTGGGTTTTTTGGGGGGTCTCTCGGGAGCCTCTTTGGGGCATTTTGGGGGCATTTGGGGGACCCTTTAAGCCTCCTGGGCGCCTCTTGAGGCACTCTCGGGAGCATCGGGGGCCATCTTGGGACCATCATGGAGTGAGCGATCAAAGAGGGGTGAGGGGTGAGATTCCGACTAGCGTCTTCCCCCCAGGATGCCAAAATTGGCCCCAGACCTTAGTCAAATCACTGATGTCTTTCTTGCCGAGGCCATCTCGGACGCTCCAGCCCCTCGCGAAACGCCCCGTCCAGGTCCAGGGGGAGGGGTAAGCCCCTTCCCGAAGGGGAAAAAGGGAGGTTAGAAGAGGAAACGTTGTAAAGCGCTCACGCACTAAAGGGCTGGTGCAATTATAATCATTATAGTTGTTCTTGGGTCTCAGGAGGGTATATCTGATTCGTTGTCTGGCTTGTGGGGTAGGTGGGCCACGGTCTGGGCATCGGAAAGCTCTCTGCCCCACGAAGCCAGATGAGCTACGCAGAAAAACGGGGTCGTCTGCGCCGACATTGGCGTGTAAGCTGCCAGCGTAAGGTCGCGCGTAAGCGCCCTCGTCTCCAATGCGGCGTGCCGCGCCGTCGACCCACGTAAGCCGCCGCGTCGTAAGGTCGCTGCGTCATCTCGCGTGAGGCCCGTTTCTTTTCGGCGCTCAGATGCCCTGGCCTGGCGCAGAGTAGCCTGGCTCGCGCAGATGTCGCCATAAAGCATACGGGTTCTGATGTTTCTCCCCGTCTCGTCGGGCTCTCTGTGCCCTTCCCCTGGGCATGAGGCTCGGGATGAGGGAAGGCCCCAGGGTCCAGGACCCGAATCCTTCAGGACAAGTCTCTGTCATGCCGAGCCCCACTTTCAGGACAGGGAGAAAGCACAGCTACGAGTCCGCAGTGAGCCATTTTGGCTCAGGCTCCTGGTGGTTGGAGCAGGCTCGGTCCCCGGCCGAAGCCGCTTGCCACCGCGGCGGGCCAGGACGCGCCGCCGCGTCGCGGCGCGCCATGGGGTGCACTCCGAGTGCCCCCGCCGAGGCGGGGCGCACAGTCGAGCAAGAGGCGCTGCAAGACAGGCACGTGCGGCCTCCAGCGGGCGCTCCAGGGCGCGAGCTGCCCGAGCAGTTCACCATCCGGCTGCACAAGGGTGCCGGCGAAACGCTCGGCGCGAGCCTCGGGAAGTTGCCGACGGGCGCGGTGCTGTACTGCGTCGAGGAGGGCTGCGTCCTCGACAGGTGGAACAAGGAGAACCCTGACGCGGCCATGCAGCCCGGGTTCGTCATCGAGCAGGTGAATGGGGTGAGCGGGTACTGGCCCCTGATGGAGGAGTTGCGCCGCGAGGGGCCCCTTGAATTGAGGGTCTCCACAGTGTCCCCGCAGTCGGCGGGCCCCAACTGGCTCGAGGACATCACGGCCATGGGGAGGAAGATCGAGCAGTCCAACGACAAGAGTCCATTCATGGTCTGGCTGTCATCGGAGGCCTCGCAGAACGAGAAGGCGCTCACAGCTTTCCCCAGCGTGGTCGCACGCGCGGCTGGGCTCGACAAGTGCGCGATCTGCCTCGAGGACTTCGTTCCCGACGAGATGCTGACGGAGTTGCCCTGCAAGCACGCCTTCCATCCGCTTTGCGCGGCGCGCTGGCTCACACAGAACGCCTCGGGGTGCGTCTCGAAGAGACAAAGCTGTCCGCTCTGCTGCCGCAAGATGGTCAAAACGCGCGACGGCGTCGCGGCCGTCGACCGACGCTCTTCAGAATAGGGGGTGACTTAGATCTTCTCTGTGTTTGGTCGCGGCCGACGTGCCCGACGGTTCCAGCGCCCACGGCTCATGTCCATAATGTTTGTTTCCCTGCGGTTTGTGAATTAATCTTCTAGCAGTGCCTGAACTCGCTCTGATGGACTTAGCACATCGCCTGCGCGCGTCCAACATTATTGCTGCGACCTCTCCAGGCCTCCTCGTCGAGAGGTGTTTCGCTATTTTCGTCTTCGGGGGGCCCTTACCCGGCCTTAGGACCGTCAACAAACGACTCAGGATGAAAAATTGGTCCCTAGGAAGCGGTCCAGACCTTTGGGGGGCGACGTTGAGAAACAAACACGACGCCGGGGGGTCTGGGTCTTGGGGTCAACACTTTGGTAAGAGTGCGTCTCAAGGATACTCTCGGCTGAGACACCCCGATTGTGCTCCCCAGGTATTCCAGTAATTGGTTGTTTTTGTTCTAACGTCTTCGATTCTCGTTCGGATGAAGTGGGGTTGGAGGTAGGGGGGGGGAGAGCTAGATTGAGGATTTGAGGGTGCAACCGGACCGTCCCGAGAAGGTGGCGCTTCCTTGCCCTCAGGATCATTCTTCATTGTGTTTTCGTGGGTCCCAAGCGCAAGCCTGAGACGAAAACGAGCCTCTTCGCCCATTCGCCCTATCACTCCCAGGGCGGCGTTCACGGCGGCTCCCAGGGCTGCAGGCGATCGGAGTGACGTTAAGGCCAACGGTTCCTCAACGCAGCTTCCATCCTGGGCAGACCCCACCACAAGCTCATCGCACTATCCTGAAGGTCCCGTTCATGGCCAGTCACCGAGCGAAACTGGCACTTGCCACGTCATCATATGCTCAACGGCACCTTGGCGCGCATCGATTCGAGACGAACAGCCCTCATGTTTAAGCAATACGCGCCCCCGTCCGACGAGTGGTGCGATGAGTGAGCAGGTAGGTGGGGGAGGAGGGGCGAAAAAGTCCGACACGCGGCAGGAGGCGTCCAGAGACCTCCCTCCCTCGATCGTCCAGGAGCAACTGTCAAGGGAGGAAAGTCCACCCCGACCCCGATAATTGGCGGTTGCTGAAAGGCCCTAGGCGTTTACTACACAGCCCTGCCCTGTTTGATTCCCTCCCTGGGTGCGCTTACGAAATGGCTTCGCTCGTCGGGGCGCTCGTTTTGAGGGTGGATCTGTTTTGCCCCCTGGACTGCAGCAGGGGAGGCGGAAGACGGGCTGCCGCTGCTCCCCCGGCACCCTGCAGGAGGGCTTCGTGCCGATGAGCTACGGCTGCCTGGAGACGCCCCCCCCCCTTCGTGGCGGCGCGTAGAGGGGCTTCACACACACACACACACACACACACTTTAGCAGAATTATCGCGTATACAGTAACCGCAAATCGACGGTGTCGCCCAGGCGTCACGACGGCACGCAGGCCCGTCGAAAACATAACTGCATATAGTAGAGCATAACATGTTGGAGAGTTACTCCATGGAATACTGTCCAACGCATTTGAATACAGCAACGGCGGTAGTGGAGGGGAGCATCACGTCATAACAGGCCATCACATGACACTGCATTGCAGAACATATCATAACACGACAGCAGAGCATATCGACATTGGGACAGGATCGAATCGAACATAACATAACACACTATCCCTAAGGGCTTCGCCTCCTGCCGCCGGCCCCCTCTCTCGGATAATGGGCAATGCAAGAGCGAAATCATGAGGCTTTGGCGCCGCCGTGAAGCAGCGTCGGGACTTCACGCGAAGACGATGAGTAATAAGCAAGACACATTGAGATTCTGATGATATTCTTGAATTCGGTGTTGCATTTCGAGCTTGCCCGCGTATGCTGTGCAACACGACCCTGGCCCCACCGATCTGCTTGAGGGGTGCCACCAAATTTCAAGACATGTGGCACATCCGATTTGTTATTCGACCCTGACCCCGCCGATCTGCATGAGGAGTGCCATTGAATTTCAAAAATGCGGCAAATACCTAATGTTTTTGGACCCCGACCCCGCCGATCTGCGTGAGGGGGGTCATTGAATTTCAGAAGTATGGCAAATCCCATCTGTTTTTCGACCCTGACTCCGCCGATCTGCAGGAGGGGTGCCACCGAATTTTAGAAATGTGGCAAATTCAATGTGTTTTTGTTTTACCCTGACCCCGCCGAACTGCGTGAGGGGTGCCGCCAAATTTCAGAAATATTGCAATTCCCATTGGTTTTTCGAACCTGACCCCGCCGATCTGCGTGAAGGGTGCCGCCGAATTTCAGAAATATGACAAATCCCATTGGTTTATTTAATCGCTTCGCTCATGCCGCCGGCCCTGGAGCCCTCTTTAGGGCCTCTTGGGGGCCTCTTGGGGACCTCTTGGGAGTCTCTTGGGGCTCCTTGGCGGCGTTTTGGAGGCCCCCAGGGCCTCTTGGGGGGCTCTTGGGGGTAGTCGATTGCGGCTCCCCCCTCGGAGGCCACGATCCTCGTGAGGGGTGTCGAAAAATACCCTCCCCTGGAGTGGTCTGGTGGCTTCTCCCGGGCTTCTCTCGGGACCTTGCCGGGGTACTTTTCGTCCGGGGGCCCCCAGGGGCCGCTCCGCGCGCGCGAACTAGAAATATTGTTAACAAGTTACCGGAGATCTTAGCACGCCTCTGGCCCGTTGGGCCGGCGAATTCGACCCTGACCCCGCCGATCTGCGTGAGGGGTGCCGCCCGATTTCAGAGATGTGGCAAATCCCATGTGTTTTAGGACCTTGACCCCGCCGATTCTGCGTGAAAGGTGCCACCGAATTTCAGACATGTGGCAAAGACCTTGTGTTTTCGGACCTTGACCCAGCCGATCTGCTTGAGGGGTGTCAATTTCGACCCCCCCAGAAATTCGGATAACCCTCCCAGGAGACGCTAGGTTTGTTGGTTTTCGACTCCCCCCCCCTCGCGCGGTCTGCAACAAGGAACAGTAAGCAGCATAAAGCAAGACTGTAACAGGGGAAACTGGAAGCTGGAACTGGTGCAGGGAACAGTAAATCTTGGTCCTACAGCTTGGTGACCCCACAAGGGGGCCGGTGGATTACGTATACACCAGCTACCGCTGCACAACGTCTTCTTGTTTCTCCCCCTGCACGTCAGCCGTGCCGAGGCACTTTCATTGGAAAGAGCGCGTTCTGTGGTCGCTTGGAGGGGGGGGGGTTGGAACTGGACCCCCCCCGGGATGGAGGGGAGGGGGTTCGAACCCCCCCCTTACTTCTCCTCTCCTTCTCCTCGGGCCGGCGCCTGCGGCGGCGGCGGCCGGCGGCGGCGGCGGGGACGACGATTTCTTTTTTTTGGCCGGCGCCGGCGCCTGCGGCGGCGGGCGGCGGCGGCGACGGAGAGCGTCAACGAGGACGGCGGTGGTGGTGGTGGTGGTTGTGGGTTGTGGTGGTGGTGGTGGTGGCTGTGGTGGTGGTTGTGGTGGTGGTGGTGTGGTGGTTTGTTGTGGTGGTGGTGGTTGTGGTGTTTTGGTGGTGGTGTGGTTGTACTTTGTGGTGGTTGTGGTGGCGGTGGTGGGTTGTGGCCGTGGTGGTGGTGGTGGTGGTTTGGTGGTGGTGTGGTGGTGGTTTGTGGTGTTGGTGGTGGTGGGTTGTGGTGGTGGCGGTGGTTTGTGGAGGTGGTGATGTTGGTGGTGGTGGTGGCGGTGGTGGTGGTGTTGTGGTGGTTTGTGGTGGTGGTGGTGGTAGGTTGTGCTGCTGGTAGTAGTGGTGGTAGTGGTGGTGGTGTGCTAGATTGCGGTGGTGGTGGCAGTGGTGGTGCGATTTTGCGGTGGTGGTGGTGATGGTGAGTTGTGGTGGTGGTGGTTGTGGTAGTGGTGGTGGTAGCTGTGGTGGCGGTGGTGGTTGTGTGGTGGGTTGGTGGTGGTGGTGGTGGTGGGTTGAGGCGGTGGTGGTGGTGGTAGTGGTGGTGGTGGTAGTGGTGGTCATCGTCGCTGCGTCCCCGCCGTCGCCGGCGCCAAGGAAGGCGCTGCTGGCCGCCGCCAGCGCCGGCGCCGGCGCCGGGGAGGGGAGTTAAGCCCCCCCCCCCTGGGCTGCCTCGTGGTCATCGTCGCTGCGACCCCGCCGTCGGCGCTGCTGGCGGCCGCCAACGCCGGCTCCGGCGCCGTCGCCGAGGGGGAGGGGGGGAGGGGGAGGTTCGGGAGGGGGGGCGGTTTTGTGGGGAGGGGAGCCCCCCTGGTTTTGATCGACGGCGCCGACTGAGACAACTGACGGCACTAGAGTTACATCTAAGACTTCAAGTAGTGTTAAGGTAGAACAGAGTGGACGTAGGAAACTTATTTTATTATTTGTTAAAGTTTTATGATCTTGAGTAGAGCTAAATAATAAGTTCCATCAGTTCCATAAGCTCTGGGGCTGCGATGCGCGTCGGGCGGTTCCCCGCTGAAGTCGCAGGGGGTGGCAGCACGTTTGCCTAAAGCTTGGCCTGCCTTATTAGGAAGAGGGGGAAGAGGGGAAGGAGGGGGCCTCCCCCCCCGGGGGGGGCCCGTGTGGGCCGCCGCGTCGTCGTCGTCGTCGTCGGCGTCGTCGTCGTCGGCGTCGTCATGAAACCCATGGACGTTTCCAGTTTTTGTTGGGCCCTGGGGCCCTCAGGTCCCGCGTCTTGGGAAGAGTCCATGTCCCCTCCTCATAAGTCCATATATGTCGCTCAAGTGCCGTCAGTTGTCTCGTGGTGGAGTTGCTGGTGCACCTGGCAGGGCGGGAAAGCACGGAGACATCGTCGTCGTCGTCGTCGTCGCTCCCTCCTCCTTCCTCCTCCTTCGACTCATCCCATCCCTCCCCCAGCCATCTTCTTCCCCCCCCCGCAGCCGCGCGCGGCTTAGTTCTCCAGAGCCAGAGCGGCTCCCGCTGCCGAGGCGGCGGCTGTGCGCGGCTCGGCTTGCTGCGATGGCGGACGACGCCGCTCGCCAGCGCTTCGCCTTGCCGCCCCACGTGGGGTCGTCGACGGCGCTGGGCTTCCTGCCCGTGGTGGACTGGCGTGCAGCAGGGCCTCCAGTCCCAGCGCTGAGCGACTCGGCGGCGGTCGAGGCGTACCTCGAGTACCCGCGCCAGTGGCAGGCCGTGTTCGCGCGCGACTGCGCGCTGTTCTGGGGGCAGGAGCGCGCGCCGCGGTGGCCAGAATATGTGGCGATGCCCTCAGACATGCAGGCCGTGACGACGGACGAGGCGGACGAGGCGGCCAGCTACGTATACGAGGAGCAGGATGCAGCAGCCCACGCCAGCATAGACGACGCCAGCAGCCCGCCGACGCCAGGCTCCGTCTACGCCAGCGGCCTGCACCCAGCCGACCTCTCATGCAACGAGTCGGGCCGCCATCAGCCGATATTGCCGCAGACGCCGAAGTGGATCCCGTGCCCGCAGCCCAAAAGTGCAAGGCCCGAGGCCTCAAGAGGCCTGCGCCGCCAGCGCCCGCCACCAGCAGCTCGGCCAAGACGCCAGCCGCCCGCCACAGCACAGGCGGCGCCAGCAGCCAGCCGCTTAAATCAGCACAGGCGGCGCCAGCAGCCGAGAGCACCGGTGAACCAGAGGGCGCCAGCAGCTCGGCCAACGCGCCAGCCGCCTACCACGGCACAGCCGCCAGCAGCCAGCCGCCTACACCCGCGCAGGCGGCGCCAGCAGCCGAGAGCGTCGGTGAACCAGAGACCGCCAGCAGCGCGGGCCAGCCGCCAGCCGCCAACGCCAGCGCAGCCGCCAGCAGCTCGGGCGAGCCGCCCTCACAGACGCCAGCACAGGCGCCAGCCGCCGACGTCAGCCCAGGCGCCAGCAGCTCGGGCCCGCCGCCGCAGCCGCCTGCGGCCAGGGCGATCACTGGCGACCGCCGCAGAGGCAGCGGCGTGCTCCGCGCGAGCGGCAAGTGCGGGGGCCGCGGCGGGAAGAAGAACCCGAACGTGCAGTGCGCGGGTCTCGCGATGGCCACGCGCGAGGGGTGGGCGCGCGAGTGTCGGTCGATGTACCCGAAGCCGCCGAAGCGGGACAGCTAGGCTTCACGCGTTGCTCGACTCGGCTCGTTGCGCTGTTTCCCGGCGGGAACGCGATGTAACATCGCGTTCGCGCGCTGCTGCTGGCAGCTCTTGCCCGATAGTTTGAGCCGTGGATCATGCGCGCCCCGGCGCGCGTCAGCCATGCGAAAGGAACGCTTTGGCGAAGGGCCCAACCATATACAGCCGCTGCGCATGCCGAGCGAAGACCCAACTTCGGGAGCTCTTTTCTCAGCGCCCCCCCCCCCCCCTGCTGGTGCACCCTGTGGCGCTGCCGCGCAATTCCGAAACCGCTGATGTATACATTGGTCTTGTGCCTCTCGGGCGGCGGGCGGCTGCAATCGTTCAAGACGAACGCCCGCGGCGCCCAGGCGGGGGCCCCATTTTTCTTCACACACACACGCGCACGCACGCGCGCACGCACGCGCACACACACACACACACACACACACACACACACACACACACGCACGCACACACACACACACACGCACACATACACACACAGCCATCCTCCATGCGTATAACTGCTGCGCACTTTTATGACGAATGCCCGCGGTGCCAAGGCGAGAGCCCCCCCCCCCCCCCCCCCCCCCCCCCCCCCCCCCCCCCATTTTGAAAATCATCGGGCCTCCAGCCATCCAGACATCCAGACATCCTGCGCGCAACTGCTGCCAGCGTTTAAGACGAGCGTCCGCCGCGCCAGCGGGGGGGGGGGGGCATTTTGGAGACCAGCCGCCCCTCGTCCGACGAGCTGTTGCAGACCTCGAAGCGTCGCCTCCCCCCCTCCTCCATAGACCGCCGCGGCTCGAGCCATTTCAAGTGCGACCTCGGGGTCTCCATGCTCCATCCTCGGGCCCCCATCGCTCACCAGGCCACCGCGGGCGGCGACGCCCCCCGAGGCCAGAGCGGGCGCGGCGGCGCGCGCGGCCAAGCCCACTGCCAAGCAGGACGAGCGACGCAAGAAGACCAACAAACAGGCCAAGCACATCGAGGACCTCAACGCGTCCTGCCGTCGGAGACCCGCGAGACCGTCCGCGCGAGCGGCTGCGCCCAGAGGTTCGCGAAGTTCACGGGTCGGGTGGCAAAGCAGCTCAGGCGCAAGAAGGAAAGGGTGCGCTACGAGGCGTGGGAGAAGGAGGTCATGGAGCGCTACGACGCGTGGAAGGCGAGCGGCGACGGTGACCTGCACGGGGGCGGCGTGGAGTGGCAGGTGGCCCGCGCCGCAGCCGCGGCAGCGGGCCCGATGGCCCGGGGGGCGGGCAGCCCCCGGCAGTGCGAGAGCGGCAGCAGCCAGCCAGGCAGCGGGGGCATCCAGCCAAGCAGCGACAGCATCGCCACGGACGACGAGAGCCCCAACGACCCAACGAAGACCACGAAGACGAGGGCCACGCAGGCGGGCGGCCCCCTCGCCGACTTCAGCCCGCAGTCGGGGATCTCCCAGCTCCTCGACGCGGACGGCGGCGAGATCTTCAGCGAGCCCAAGTGAGCCTGCCTCGGGCGCCTCTCAGCTTAGCGGCCACCCCGCTGATCTGAGTGGTCTCCACGTTCGAGCGAGGCGACTTCGGCCCGCGTTCTTTCCGAGTGAGAAGCAGCGGTGTCCCCGCCGAGTTGTCGGTCTTCGGTCCCTCGACTCGGTCGTGGCCCCTTCCGCCGCGTGACCCTTGGCCCTCGCTCGTTCGTCGGCCGGGCCCTCGCGGGGCCTTCGTTTTTGCGCGCTGTAGTCCAGACTGGCGGCGGCGGCGGCGGCGGCGGCGGCGGCGGCGACGACGACGACGGCGACGACGGCGACGACGACGACGACGACGACGACGACGACTGCGACGACGACGACGACGACGATAACGACGACGACGCCTCCGCGCATTTGACGACGCTCGAGACCCCTCACTCACGTTGAGACTCGCTCACACCCAGACCCGCTCACACTCGGACCATTTGAGTGGATGGAGGGCGTTCTTGTTCGAACCGAGTTCTCGCTTGAGACATCGTCAGGAATCAGTAGATGGAGGGCGTCTCTTGTTCGAATCGAGTTCCCTTTTGAGACGTCCTCAGACCTTAACATGGAGGGCGTATCTGGTCCGAATCGAGTTATCGCTTGAGACGTCCTCAGACTTTAGAAAATGGACGGCGTTTGTCGTTCAAATCGAGTTTCCGCTTGAGACGTCCTCAGACCTTAGTAGATGGAGGGCGTTTCTTGTTCGAATCGTGTTCTCGCTTGAGGCGCCCTCAGACTTTGCCCCCATCCCATCCACCCCCTCGCCGCAGCTGCGCAGCGAATTTTCGATCAGCGGTAAATCTGCTCGGCGTTGCTCAGAACCGCGCCAGGGGTAGGCCCCGTCCGCGTTGGGCTGGGGGCGGCCCGGGCCCTACTGGACCGGCAAGCAGGCGCGCCGCGCCACATTCACATGTCACATGCCCAGTCCAACGCCATCTTGGCGATGGCGCGGGGAGCAGGCGCCTAGTTGGATGCCGATGGCCGCGGCGCCCTGTCGGAGATTGTGGGGGGCGCGCAGTAGTTCGACGATCGCGGTCTCGCGATCCCCCGCGAGCTCGCGGCGGCGAACGCCGCGTCGGGGGGGGGGGGGGGCGCCGAGAGAAGCAGCGGCAGTGGTGCTTGAGCTTCATCGAGTTCTTCGCTGAGGGCATCTGGGACAAAATGCTCAATCCCGATGCGCCCTCGGAAGCCGTGAAGAAGATCGTCATCAGCCGCATCATCGGGCTCGGCGGCGCGAACGTCTGCGAGTACACGGCCAAGTTGAGCCATTCGCTTTGGATGTTGCCGCGTCGAGAAGTTCACCTACTTCCCGAAGAAGTCATCGCATGCGCATTCCAAGAGCGAGTGCCGCAGGGTTGCGGAGAAGTCGCTGAAACCCATGGAGCGCATCATGGAGCTACCCAGCTTGCCTGAGCAGACGGCGGCGCCCCACCCAGCCACGCGCTCGCAGGCCTTCGCGCCGCGGCCAGGGGGCGGGCCCAGGCGCTGCCCGTTTGAAACTGCGAAACTGCGTGGCTTGGCGCCCGCGGAGAGCGCGCCGCCGCGCCAGCTCGACTTGCGCTCGCCGCAGGGTGGCAATCAGGACATCTCCCGCCAGATCATGGACCAGCAGGGCAGGCAGTGGGAGGCCATGCAGGGCATGATGCTGCAGTTCACGGGCGGCGGCGCCCAGCGGACACGCAGTGCCGACGACGTATTCGATGACGTCGAGCTGCTGAACCCTAGGCGCGGGGGCGGTCGGCCGAGCTCGCACCGCGCGGTGGTCGAGTTGCCGGCGGAGGGGGTCGAGCAGGCCGCCGTCGTGGGAGGCCGGCGCGCGGGCGCGCCCCTCCAGTGGAGGGCGCGCCGCCTGCGGCCCACCAGCCGCCCGCGGCGGACAGCCGCGACGGGGGCGAGGCAGTGCTGATTGCCCCTGGCGCGCCGCCGCAGGACCGAGCCGAGCCGCCCGACACCTCGGGCAAGAAGAAGAAGAATAATAGGCGGTTGAAGGACCGCGCGCCGGAGTGCATGGACATGATGGAGCACGAGAAGCGCGAGAAGAACGCTGGCCGCGGGCGCGGCCGCGGGCGCGGCGGCGCGGGTGATGGCGGCGAGGAGGAGGCGCAGCCTATCGCCGACGTGGAGGATGGAGCGGGCGTCGCCGCGGCGTCCACGAAGAGGAAGAAGAAAAAGGGCGAGGGCCGAGCGCATCGGTCCGCCCGCCCGCCCGTGGGGGGCGAGGCGGTCGCGGGCACGCCCGCCAGGATGCCGATGGGCCCGAAGGTAAAATCCACCGAGAAGAACCCCGAGGCGACAGTGGCGTCTGGGGGCAAGGGCGCGGCGCCGCCTCTGGCCAACGGCGCTGGTTTCAGGAACTTCAAGTACAAGAAGACCAGCTGGGGCGACTTGGCGACCATCACGAAGGCACGCGCAAAGAAGACGACTCGGGCGCGCTTCGCCAGCAAGGCCTACGACACTACCAAGAGGAGGGCTACGCTGGCAGCAGCACCCAAGGAGATGATCACCACCGTCGCCAGGCAGGCCTACAAGGGCGCCGCCGTGGCCTGGGACGCAGCGAAGTGAGGCGCCGCAGTTCAGCCTGCGCCGCGGGCGCGCGAACGCCCCTGGGATCGGAGAGGGGCCAGGGGAGGAGGTGGGATAGGGGCCGCTACGGCGGCCCTTCGGTTCATCAGGGGGCCGCGGGGGATGGGGGGGGGCGCGGGGCGATCGCGCCGCGTAGCGTCGCATAGCATAGCGTGGCCGACGATCGCAGAGCATAGCCTAGTTGCTAGCGTGTCGCAGCGCTGCCGATCATTACACACCGCGGCCTTGCAGCTTGCATGGCGTTGGGCGGCGCAGCATGGCACGTCATAGCGAAGCGCTGCATATGGCCGCGCCCGCAGCGATGGATGGGGTGGAATCTTCGTTTGCAGCGCCGTGCGTAGCCGAGGCCGTGCGTCGCTCAGCTGCGGGAGCGCGGGGGGCGCGCCCCGCGGCGGACCCCCCCCCCCCCCCCCATTTCACCGCCCCGCCCCGCCCCGCCCACCATTCCACGCGAGCGGCGCCATCGCTGTGGTCTGCCCTAGGCTTGGGCCCCCCCTCGTTTTCTTCCCTGCCCGCGTCCCGCCCCTTCCCGTCGGATGACCTGCCGGTCCTCCTCGCCCTCCAGCCCCCCCTCCTCATCCTCCCGCGCCCCCGACACGAGGTCCCCGAGTCCTCATCGTTCTCCCGTGGGCCCATGTATCCTGAGTCTGCGGGCCTCTTCGAGGACTTAGCCCAGTGGAGGATCGAGGAGGTTCCCCAGCGCACCCAGTCTGCAGAGCCGCGTCCAGCCGCGGCGGCGAGGAGGGCCCCCCGAGGGCTAGACAGCCTCCAACCTCGAGCCTCCAGGCTCGAGGTTCGAGCCTCGACGCGGGCCCGTCGGGTCCCCAACGCGCCCCCTCCGCAGCTCCAGAGCGCCATCAAGGTGTT